GCAGAGGCACTGAAAGCAAATGTAACAGCAACTGCCAAGATACTCCACATCCTCTTCGGTAAGATTTGGGACGAAGAACATGTACCAACAGACTGGAAAGAAGGACTTCTCATCAAGATACCAAAGAAAGGCGATCTGAGCAAGTGCGACAACTACAGAGGCATCACTCTCCTCTCAATACCAGGAAAAGTCTTCAACAGAGTATTGTTAAACAGGATGAAGGATTCCGTGGACGCTCAACTTCGAGATCAACAAGCTGGATTTCGTAAGGATAGATCGTGCACAGATCAAATCGCAACTCTACGTATCATTGTGGAACAATCAATCGAATGGAATTCATCACTGTACATCAACTTCATCGACTACGAGAAGGCATTTGATAGCGTGGACAGGACGACACTGTGGAAGCTTCTTCGACACTACGGTGTGCCTGAGAAGATAGTAAATATCATACGGAACTCCTATGATGGACTAAACTGCCAAATCGTCCACGGAGGACAACTCACCGACTCGTTCGAGGTAAAGACCGGTGTTAGGCAAGGTTGCCTACTCTCACCCTTTCTCTTTCTCCTGGTGATCGACTGGATTATGAAGACGTCAACATCTGGAGGAATGCACGGGATACAGTGGACAGGCAGGATGCAGCTTGACGATTTAGACTTCGCGGATGATCTGGCTCTTCTATCACAAACGCAACAACAAATGCAGGAGAAAACGACCAGTGTAGCAGCAGCCTCAGCAGCAGTAGGTCTCAATATAAACAAAGGGAAAAGCAAGACTCTCCGATACAATACATTATGCACCAATCCAATTACACTTGACGGAGAAGCTTTGGAGGATGTGGAAATCTTTACATATCTGGGCAGCATCATTGATGAACACGGTGGATCAGATGCAGATGTGAGGGCGAGGATCGGCAAAGCAAGAGCAGCATACCTACAGCTGAAAAACATCTGGAGCTCAAAACAATTGTCAACCAACACCAAGGTTAGAATTTTCAATACAAATGTCAAGACAGTTCTTCTGTATGGGGCAGAGACGTGGAGAACTACGAAAGCCATTATCCAGAAGATACAAGTGTTTATTAACAGCTGTCTACGCAAGATACTTCGGATCCGATGGCCAGACACTATCAGCAACAAGTTACTGTGGGAGAGAACAAACCAAATTCCAGCGGAGGAAGAAATCAGGAAGAAGCGCTGGAAGTGGATTGGGCACACTTTGAGGAAATCACCCAATTGTGTCACAAGACAAGCCCTCACATGGAATCTGGAAGGTCGAAGGAGAAGAGGAAGACCAAAGAACACATTACGCCGAGAAATAGAGACAGACATGAGAAGAATGAACAAGAACTGGAAAGAACTAGAAAAGAAGGCCCAGGACAGAGTGGGTTGGAGAAAGCTGGTCGGCGGCCTATGCTCCATTGGGAGTAACAGGCGAAAGTAAGTAAGTAAGTATCCATATATCAACCATCACCTATTATGATATCTGAAGCATGGATTTACAGTAATATTTCTGACCTAAGTATATCACTTGATAACTATTTCATACATAGAAGTCATAGATTGAAAGGACGAGGAGGAGGATGTCTTAATCTCATTGTTATGTGATATGAATTGACTAAACAAACTAAAGGACTCGGTGTGGATTGTTTTAAAGCCATCAAGTTCCATTACCTTACTGTTCAGCTGTGTCTACCGTCAACCTAACGCATCAATAGCAGTATTATCAGAGGTATTGACACTAGGACCATCCCTACCATTCACAGACAAGCTCATTAGTGGTGACTTCAAAATACCTGAAATTTCTTGGTTTCCAATCAAGGCTCAGAAACGTTACGAATCACTTATTGAATGTCTAGAACTAGGACAGTGAACTCAGTACGTCAATAGCCCTACCACACACCAAAATATCTTGAACATAGTCTATACCAGTGGCCTCACCACCAATACTGTATATATTGGAAAAAACGTTTCCAGGTAATGATCATAAAGTTGTTGTATGTACCCTTAATATAAAAACCACAACCGGTACACTTATCAAATGTAACACTTCATAGAAACTATCGAAAGGTTGATTGGAATAATTTCCACAATTACCAAAGAAGCATTGCCTGGGGAACTTTTTTTTCAGCAAAAAATACCAACACACTATCTAATATATTTTATCACAACATCAAAAGTATCATGAACAAAATTACACCCTTAGAATATTGGAGACCTAAGTTCTTTGAATATCTGTACTTACGGTCGGTACATGAAGACGTCTTCGAAGACATAGCATTCGATTCCACAACTTTAATGACTTTTCCTCCTTAGTAAGGGTGACAGAAATACTTGTCCGAACAGAGGCAATACATACACAAAACACAGCCGAAAAGAAAAAACGTGCTGTCAAACTTAATAATAACTCATCTGCACTCACCATACTCTTTCAAAATAAACTTGAACGTTCTAAATCGAGAGGGAATACATCTATTAATGACAAACAAGTATATGAAGACCCTAAACTTGTTACGAAACTATTTATTAAACACTTTTGTTTCTTATTAACTAACGAAAAGCGGCTAAATGATTCAGAAACTATCCCGGCACCTCCCTGTGAAATTACTAATGTAGACTTCAATGTACAAAATATTTCCAAGGCAATTAGTACATTTAAACACTCCTGCACTGATGGTATTCCGGCTAGCATGCTAAAAATTGGAGTTGATAATGTGTGTTTTACTCCTCAAACTATTTGCGACATCACTCTCTACAGAGCATTGCCGTACTGCTTGGAAGACTACATATATTATTCCCAAAGCTGAAACAGGACCTGAGGCAAATGTTGAACATTACCGACCCAAAAACATAACTTCAGTGGTATCTAGAGTTATGGAAAAAGTACTTAAGGCGGAGGTAGTTCAACATCTTATTACTAATAATTTCATCTCGGTCTTCCAGCAGGATCTCTTAGGTCCAGATCATGTGATATATGCCTAGTGGACTACATGAATGATATAACTCTGAAACGAGGCAACAGACTCCTTGTATCAGTCCTATTTTCAAACTTTCATAAAGTTTTTTATAAGGTCTAACACAAAAGGCTTATGGTCAAACTACGGTCCTTCGGAATCAGCAACCCACTCTATTCATGATTTGTTTAATTCCTAATGGAGGGGAAAATAATGGTAAAGTACAGTGACTGTCTCTCATCACCTAGACCAATAACTAGTAGAGTCATAAATGGAAGTGTATTAGGTTCACTTTTGCTTCTTATGTATATAAAAGATATATGTAACATCGTATAATTTGGGAAACCATATTTATAAGCTGATGATCTCAAAATAGTATACAGCTATAAGCCTGAGGCTCTAAATGAAGATGTATCTGTTATTCAAAATGAAAACAATAAACTAACTATCTGGAGCGAAAAATGGCAATTACCATTTAACCTCAACAAGTGTGGGATCATACATTTTAGAAAGCATCCCTATGAACTACAAATTTACTCAAATCAGTATACAATCCAGAAATTAAATAAACAGGAAGCCTAAACATTGAAGAACATACATCCCATATTATTTCTAAAGTTAGACGGTCAATTGGTTTCATAACGAAAACTTTCTTCACAACAGACGCTAAGCTTACTTTTTACAAAATATATGTACGACCTTCCCTTGAATACTGCTCTTTTATCTTCTCTAATATGAATACCACAGAAAAACTAAGAGTAGATGTCCAAATACGCTCCAAACGCCAACTGTCGATTGCACAGATTTTTTTATTTAAAGACACAAACAATGGTACATGAAAGAACCAAATAGATATGTGCCACATAAATCATTCTGCTGATGTGAGGGCTTGAATACTGCTAGGGTGCCCAAACCAAAACAGGTGATTTTCTCAAGAGGCCACACACAGAACCTTCGACCGAAAGGTCTAATCCACAAGGCAGTAGAGCAACGTCAAGAGATGCAATACCATGGTAGCTGTTGACCAACAAATGATTCTAATCAGTTGCATTGTCTGTATATAATGAACAATCATCCATTCTTATTCATCTTCATTTAATGCATGCTGGAACATATTGGATTCAAATCATGAATAAAATCGTATGTTTTCTTAAAAATTCACAGATCAGAGGTGATCAATTGCTTTTTACATCCACTTACGAATGCACACAATGTTATCTTAACATATTTTTCGTCTCAAACACACTACAGTAAATACTTACTTTTAACGTTGTTGACATGATTTGATAACCGAGGTACTTCGTAATTATTTATATTCACAAATTTTGATTATATCATCTTAAAAAAGCCTGGACCACATTGCCGAGTAAAACGTTGGATTTACTTCATATTCAGTCACCGAGATTTAACATTCTTCTTTTTTATTATCTTTCTGCAAACTTATTCGTTCGAAAGCTCTTATATACCTTCTTATCAACACTGTGAATTAGATCGATCAACTGACTTTTCCAATGTTTAACGTATCTAACTTTATCATAAAACTAAGTTGAAATTGATATTGTCAGTTGTCGTTTTTGTGAAACATCGAAGAAAAAGTCGAGTTCCAGTCAGTCAGCGACAACGTAGGACCAGGCACATATATGCATCGGTCCAAGTTGCCATACCTTGTTAACACAACAAGATGAACACCGGATTCATAGAAGTATTTAATTTAGTGGTGGTAGTAGTATACAAATTATAGGTTGTATATAAGGATATAGTACAGGAAGGAAGACAGATATGAAGCAATTGTGATCGATTCTGAGCCATGTCACCTAGAGTCTCTAAATATTGTTTACGATAGTCACGCGGACCCTAACCAAGTAGTCTACACCTACCAACATGGCTCAGACTAGAAGTTAGTGACTTCAAGCACTGATGCCATGTTTTGGTTTGGCCATCCCTAACTCTCTTCCAATCATCCCCTACACTAGTCAGCATAACGCATCGCGGTAATCGATGTTCAGGCATACGTAACACGTGACCTAACCATCTCAGTCGATGAAGATTCATCACCTCATCAACTGATATGGGACACATATGAAGCTTATAATTTTGCCTGAATTAATGCACTTTAAAACGTTGGTTAGATTAAACTTCAAGCAGATGTAATCATATGGTCATTCTATTGTATATTATAATCTGCTCATATTTTATCCATTTCTAAAAAATTGGGCAGTAATCCTTACCACATTTTTTTGGCAAATAATGACATTTATTCCTGACATGTATCTATGCGCCTTCAGACGCGATGTAAGAAGTAGTGATAAACTAACAAATCCGAATGTTATACAGCCTTTTTTCGTCATATGAACATAACTTTGTGAATGAATTAAAGGTTAGAAAACAAAACCAATTACGGCTATCTTAGATACATATATTAAATTCCACTAAGAACTGACAGTATACTGAAAACACTAGATATTACCATCTCCTAGAACAAATGCTTGTTCTTATTATATAATCCCAATGTACCAAAGGTATAATAAACAATGATGACAAAGAACATAGTTCGATCACCGAAAAACAGATTTATTTTGTTTTCATAATTCACAAATACATCATTTAGACTAATCATCAATTGTATTTGTGCGATGAACATTATTATTGGGGGGGGATATAAATGAAAGAGAGAGAGAGAGACAGACGTGTACACAATAACATTGTCAAATCCAAATATCCTTGTTTAGACTAAACTTAATGAGTACTGAAGTTATATGCTGCATACAAATGAAAAATAATAACTAAGCAAATATATATTGTCATACAAACCTGTGCAAAAATATTCTCTCTTCATAAGCCGGAAGATATACACCTTGTTTAACTTAATATTAATCAATGTAATAACTTATACAGTAGTAAACAACAAAAACAGAATGGGGATATAAGTGAGAAATAGCTGAATAAACGAGTGAAATAGTAAGTTTGGTTTGATCAATACTTTCTGTCGTCAGATAATCCACTATGATAAAACAAAAGAGGAGAAAATAAACAAATATGATAATTTAATAATAGAGCATAAATTGAAACAAAAAGTAAACACTTCTTAATGACGGGTAACTATGTTTAATAGCTTGAGTCTTGTCATAGAGTAAGTAGATGGTCCCCAAATGCCCTGGTACGACCGAGAGTGGGAAGAGTCCGCTCTCCCTCTCGAAATACTCACACATGGCCACGCGTATACAACTACTACCAGGGAAGTCATGCTCAGTGCCTTCTCGTGGCGGGGGCTATATTTACGAAATTGAGAGGACGAAAAGCGAATGTCCAGCGCATTAATCGGGTTGTTGGACAGGAAAATTCCACCTAGAGGAGTTGGAAAACCCTGATTCCAAACCAATGGTGCACATGGGCTCTAAGATCCTGCTGACGGGACAAATGGAGTATGAATCAATAGTTGATCATCGGCTATCATGGGACTACACCTCATCACGATACTCTACTGCCTTGTGGATCAGACCTTCAGGTCGGAGGCTCCGAGTGTGGTCCCCTAAGAAAACCACCTGCTTCGGTCTGGGCACCTGGGCAGTATCGTAGCCCTCACACAATTCAAGTGGGATTTCTGTTGTATATATATATATATATATATATATATATATATATATATATATATATGGTACCCCCTTGTACCATTATTTATGTGTTTAAATATATATCAGTACACGATAATACTAGACAAAAACTGATAATTTATCAGATATTTAAGAGAATCGTGCCAGATGTGACTAATTTTGACTAATATTCGAAAATTTCAAGGAAACAAATTGAGAGTACTAAACAGATCTCTGAAGTTTGTGTGGAACTACTGATCAAATGGAAGCTATCTGTGTTATGCTAACCATAAGAACACACGGTTTTGAAGGATAAGTTTTTTGTGAGGGGTGGTAGATATATATAGACTGAAAAATATTAAAGCAAAATTAAACAGCTTGCTAGTCTTCAACTAGTTTACCAGTTGATGAAATTCTGAGTTGAAAACTGTTATGAACATTTTAGCCTTGATCGATCTAACGATGAGGAGGGGAAGCTTCTACTATATCCCGAAGAGAATTATGAATGGTAAACTTCTGAGAACTATTTATGGATCAATATGATGCGAATATTTTCCATTGTATAATTGTTAAGTAACTCAATTATTCATATTCATGTTCCTTTTATTATGAGCTTTATTTTGACTTATAAACTATTACTGTAGGATTTACCATTCCTGAGTTAAAACCAGTCTATTAACTACCGACTTGTGACAATAATGTAGAAGCACAATGAATGGTTGATTCATGATTGAGTAAAACTTAAAATATATTTTTTTAAATGTGTTGTAGTTAGTAAATCTGACTGATTGGTCTAGAGATCGGGCATTTGTGCACAAAACGGTAGGTCCTGGGTTCGAATCCTCCCTGCCAACAGCAATGACACCAAGTATTCCAATTTTTATTCATCGTACATACTGCTGATATCTGTCGACATTAGTAGCACACCAAAAAACACTCATCGTTTCTCGTATGTTAAAGTGTTATATCCTGCTGAGAATAATGTGAACGGTAACTATTGAAATCTATTTCTAGACTAGTAATATACATATATTTTTATTGTGTAATTGTTAAGTAATTCAAATATTCATATTCATGTTCCTTTTATTATAAGCTTTATTTTGACTAATAGACTACTACTGTACGGTTTACCATTCCTGAGTTATCCATACTCTATTATTTACTGTTCTCCTTATCTACAGCCACATTTAGCTGAATCTTGTACAAATGCTATTTTATATTTCATGGTACGATTTGGTCTGTTTGTTTGGTATATAAACTCAGTATGTTTGAAATATCATGACTTATATTGCAGAGGCTGTTATTGGTGTTCTTGACTTAACTGTCTGCGCTAGGCAGAAAACAGGACAGACAAGTACTCTAGACTGCTAGTTCTAATTTCGCGTGTCACTGGTCCTACCGTTAAATCCCTGCTTTCTAATAGGCGAGTCAAAAGTTTATAACAGTTTCATTATCGAGGTTTTGGGATGAAATTTTTATAATTAGCCATATCAATCATTCCAAACCGACCTGAATGACTAGTCAAAGTAACGTAGGCGAAACCCAGTAACAGATAGGTAAAGTAGGATATTCACATCTCAAGTGGAATGAATAAAAATGATTATGTAAACACATTTTTTAAACAACAACTTACCTAGAAATTCGTGAAGGGAATCCTGAGCTACCGAAAGGTCGTTTCCTTCAGAAAAATAGAAAAATTATGAAAGTCATTTGGGAATCTTTCAAATTAACAATAAAAGATACAACAACAATAACTGGATAGTGGGATGAGATGATCATTAATACTATGTGATACATATTAATGCAATACATATTTCGCACAATGCGATTACGAATTACTTGTTAAGAGTCATCCCACAATGAATCATATATACACCTTTAAAACAATCAGTGGAAAACAGCATGGAAATCCTGTTTTCTAAGAGTCGTTCTCAATAACTTACAGAAATGTAGACGAAAAATGCCCCCAAATGCCCTGGTGCGGTTGGGAGTGAGGAGAGTTCACTTTCCCTCTCCAAATTTATTTTATTTATTTAAACACATATATATTGGTACAAGAGGGCACCAGGTACATATGCGCCACACAAAATAATGAAAGTAGGAAGAGAAGGGATGAAAAGATAAGGCGGACTAAAATGTACAACCAGAAGACTCTTTCAAAAAGGAAAGTAAGAACCATACTTTATGCAGAAAGTAAAAGAAGGTTGCAGCAGGATCGCCACTGGTTTCTATTCTGAGCCATATCTGATAACGTCTCTAGCCACTGTGTTGCACCATCTCTCGGACCCCAACCAAGGAGTCGTGAAGGACCAACAGAAGCTAGCCCTTTGCAGCTTTCTTTCATGCCACGACACCATGTCATACACTGACCTCCTCTCCGCTTTTTCCAACCAGTCCCAGGGTCGGCAAATAATGCACGACGTGGAAGTCTCTGGGACGACATTCGTAAAACATGTCCAGGCCACCGAAGTCGGTGTTTCAAGATGGTGACACCAATTGAATTATCGTCTCTGCGCCCGAACACACGATGCCGAACCTCTGCATTACTAACATGGTGTTGCCACTGGGTGTCAGCAATCCTTCGGAGACAACGATGATCGAACACAGAGAGACGTCTAACATCCTCAACTCGGAGAGGCCAGGTTTCACAAGCATAGAGCAAAACTGCTCTCACCGACGCGTTGTAAATCCGACTTTTTACAGCCAGACTAACATCACGAAGGCGCCAAAGATGGCCCAAATTGGCATAAGCCGATCTGGCTTTCCTTATACGTGCATCAATCTCATCACTCACGCCACCACCAGCACTTATATAGCTACCTAGATACACGAACTTCTCAACTACTTCGATCTGCTCACCATCCAGGGTGAGTACAGGATTAGAATCCTGCCAGTCTTGTAGAAGTACTTTGCACTTGGAGGGTGCAAAGCACATGTCGTACCTGCGGACACTGATTGCCAACTGATTAAGTGCGGATTGCATGCCTTGGGCATTATCGCACAGTAAGACAATATCATCCGCATACTCAAGGTCGAGAAGTCGTTCTCCAGGCAACATATCCACACCGCCATTACTTACATCCATCAGAGCTGTTTCTAGGATGTCGTCGATGGCAAAGTTGAAGAGGAATGGTGAGATTGGGCAACCCTGTCTAACCCCACTGCTCGAATGGAACAAGGGAGAAAGGTGGTTGTATGCCCTCACTCTGCATGAGGTGTTCGTGTACAGGGCCTTTAAGATGTTAATGAACTTCTCAGGCACACCCTTCTTCAATAGACAATCCCAGAGAACAGTCCTGTCCAACGAATCGAAGGCCGCCCTGATATCAAGAAACACTACGATTGTTGGCCTGCGATAAGTATGACGGTGTTCTAACATTTGGCGGAGGGTGAAGATGTGATCAATGCATCCTCGACCAGAACGAAAACCAGCCTGCTCCTCGCGAGTCAATCGTTCTCGGGTTTTAAACAACCTACGAAGAATGATAGAAGCCAATAGTTTGGACGCAATCGGAAGTAGACTTATCCCCCGATAGTTATTGCAGGAACAACGCGAACCCTTTTTAAAGATAGGGACGACTATTGACTCATTCCATGATGTTGGAACACTTTCTTGCTCCCAAACCTTTCCAAACAACACAGTCAATTCCTTAGTCAGAAAGTCGCCACCATCTTTAAAAAGAGCCGGAGGTAAGTCATCTGGGCCAGGTGATTTGTAGCGCTTCAAGAGTTGGAGTTCCTTGCGGACTTCCGCCTCGTTTGGTGGATCAGTCGTCACCGGCCATGGGGGGCAGGACAAGCTGGTTGATGTTGCCGGAGCAGCAGGCCAGTTGAACTGCCCTTCGAAAAATTCCGCCCATCGTCCAAGACGTCGGGAGATGTTAGTGATTGGCATCCCATCATCCTCGTAGATTGTTTCACTCACACCAGACTTCTTGCTGCCAGTGGCTCGGATGAGTTGGAAGAGCTTCCGGCAGTTACCAGATGCAGCTGCTGCTTCCATCTCATTAGCACGCTCCGACCACCAGGCTTCCCGGTCCTTACGCAAGCTTTGCCCAATTTCATTACGTAACAGCCTTCGTTTGTGGTCAAACTCACGGTCACCCGGAGTAGACCGACGGGCTTCCATCAGTTGTAAGGAGCCAGAAGAAACCCAGTGCTTGTAAGCGGGACGTTTCGCGAAGCCACAAGCGGCTTTACTCGCCATTTTCATGGCGTCGTGAAGATGCAACCAATGCTCATCTATACTTTTCGGTGGGGTGTTAGCTAGCCTAGAGGCTAGCTCCGCTCGGTACTTACTTGCAACAGGAGTTGCAGCCAGTTTACTAATATCAATCCGTTGGTGGTGGTCAATCCTTCGGCCACTGAAAAGTAAGGTGAGATTGGCGCAGACCAGGGCATGATCAGACTCCAGATAGGTACTCCAAAAGGAGCGGCAGTCTTGTACACAACCACGCCAGCGGTAGCTGATCGCGATGTGATCAATCTGAGTCCAGGCTTGGGATGCAGAGGGAGGACGCCAGGTGGCACACCGGCGATGACTGTGCCGGAAGTTAGTGCTGGCCAGAAACAGGTTGTGGTCTGTGCACAGTTGCAGCAAACGGTCCCCGTTATCTGTCCTGCGACCAACAAGTTCCCATCGGCCACCTAGACGCCCGACCTGTGCATTCAAGTCTCCGGCTAGTACTACAATATCTGTCGAACGCACTTTCTGGAGAAGAACTGTTAACTGATGGTAAAACTCATCCTTGATTGCATCCGGGCTGCAATCTGTCGGGGCATAGGCGGAGATGACGAAAAGACACCGTTTCTCACGCCGGTTTCTTCTCAATTTGATGGAACTTTCTAATCTAACAGCACATAACCGACTGTTAATGGGGAACCAATCGATTAGTGCTGCCTCAGCCCTAGCGCTTAGTGCGACACCAACGCCAGCAAGACCAGACGAAGATGCCACAGGGTCCCCGGATAAGCGCACGTGGAACAAGCTTTTCGAGGCGACAGATGGAGAGCGGATTTGTAGTACTTCACTAGAGTCTTGAATACGGGTCTCGGATAGACAGCAAACATCAACATTAAGACCTTCCAAAGACATAGCCAGCCCTATCTGTTGTCTGATATGCATTAGTGTGCGAACGTTGAAGGAAGCCAGCTTGAACGGCGTACGCGGTTTCAGAAAGACTGCCTCAGTATTCATTATCGGTGGAAGCATTCACTTTCAACCAGACAGTGACTGGAGATCGTTTAGATAGGACAGATTTTCCACCAAGAGCGAGCTGATGCATAAGTTGAAGAGTAAGGTTACACAAATTGGGGGTAAAAGGGGGTGAATTAGCGATATGGTAAGTAATAATAATAATAATAATAGTAATAATAATAATGATAATAATAACGTAAATTGTCTTGCCTATAATATGAGCAGGAATAGAATCGTCAATAGAGTTCGTCATTTCATTCATTTGTGTGTGGGCTGTGATACTGCCCGGGTGCCCAAACCGAAGCAGGTGGTTTTCTTAGGGGGCCACACCCGGAGCCTTTGACCTAAAGGTCTGATCCACAAGGCAGTGGAGCATCGTGAGGAGATGCAGTCCCATGGTAGTCGTTGACTAATGACAGGTTCTTCCGCCATTCGTTCCATCAGGAAACTGGAGCCCATGTGCACCATTGGTTTGGAATCAGGGTTTTCCAACTCCCCTATGTGGACCCTCCGTGTCCACCTCCGTGTTCCCTCTCCAAATGCCCTCACATGACCACGGGCATACAACCAATATTAGGAAAGTCCTACTCAATGACTTCTCGTGGCGAGGGCGTTGTTTACAAAATTGAGAGGACGAAGAGTGAATGTTCGGAGCTTTAACCGCAGCAGTGGACACGGGAAATTCACCTAGAGGAGTTGGAAAACCCTGATTCCAAACCAATGGTGCACATGAACTGGCTCCAGTATCCTGCTGAGGGAACAAATGGAGTATGAATCAATCGTTAGTCACCGGCTACCATGGGACTGCATCTCCTTACGATGCTCCACTGCCTTGTGGATCAGACCTTTAGGTCAAAGACTTCGGGTGGTGGCCCCCTAAGAAAACCACCTGTTTCGGTTTGGGCACCTGAGCAGTATTAAGACTCTCACACAAGTCAAATGAGATTTGTGCGGCGCATATGTATCTGGTGCTTCCTTGTACCAATATTTATGTGTTTAAATAAATAAATAATAAATGAACAGTTTAATTGTTTAGTATTCACATAAAGAAAAACTCGTTACAAATAGGGCACCAAGATGGATGTCACACACACACACACAAATAAATGAGAATATATTGTGGAAAAATAGGAGTGGAAGAATTATATAGAACAGAAAAAGCTGAAATAAGAAGTATTATTTACTCAGCTCAACAAGGGTTAAAGCATGAAACTGGATGAATTTCCTAACAAAATAATTAAGTTAGGATTGCTATTGTTTCTGAACAAAAGAACGCTTAAGATGTCAAGCTTCGACAAGAAGTGCGGTGACCTAAGGCTGACTTCTCTGAGAAATTGCTTAGACTATTGTTCACTAGTATGATAAATAAATGAACAGCTGGGATGTGAAACGTCAAAACTGATGCTTTTTGATTTGATGAGCGAAAATTGAACTAGATGGTCAGGTCTTCAGTCAGTCACAATGTAGAACTTCGAACGTACGTACATCAGTTCAAATTGCTATACCATATTAGCACGAAGATTCAGTTGTCGATTCAAATCCCATATTGGCAGAAGTAGTAAGAGCATAAGTATTTGATCGGAAAGATTAAGGTTTGATGATGTTATTGAAGGAGTATAATCCAATGAAATAAATTTAGAGAGAGAAAAAAGATAGAGACATGAAAAATTCAGAAGATTAGAATTTGGCAGAACACAAAGAGTGGATGCACCTTCGCCATTGCAAACGATTTTGAGCCATGTCATTCAAGATCTCTAACCATCGATTGCTATCATCTCGCGAATCCCAACCAGGTAGTCTACACCTACCAACATGGTTCAGTCCAATTGTCAGTGACTTCATAGATTTGTGCCACGCTTTGGCCTGGCCGCCCCCCTAGATTTTAATTATATGGGAATAATAGTGACCCACAAAACACATTACCAATAACCCATTTGATATGCAACATCTCATATGTTTATTTTAGATTAAAGTATTTTATTCTCACAGGACAAAAAACGTACTACGCTGATTGTGCTTCATCACCATTTATATCAAGGTGCTAGAATTAGTAATTCTGTCTCGTGAGGAGTTATCACTCGACTACATCGTATAGGTGCACGCTATCACAGTAACCAATCAATCAGTTTATTAACATAAACCATAGTCTGACTTCTGAATAACGGTAACAGCGGTAAAAACAGTGAGTTTAACCAACAGATTGAAGGTCTGACCATTATACTATTGAATAAGGGTTTGGAAACCAGTTAGTAGTAATTAGTGTGCAGCTAGACATCACTTAAACAGTACTTTGTAAACAAATCACATTAACACCATATCTTTTAGATCATACACGGAGGTAAAAACAATACCAACTCCTATCTTAAAGGACGATGTTTGTCGGCGTAGGAGCGAGCTGGAAGAAAACTAGATGTAGCCACATCAAAAACGTAGCGTCCATTCATGACCCCAACGATCACTGAACTTGAATCATGTAAGTAGGTTTTTAGACTGCCTGGTTGATTTCTGTGCAATAACTGCGATCATCAGATGGAGGCTTTGTGTAACATGTTTAAGAATCGGTTATTAATGGCACAAAAGCGTCCAGGTTTTCTCATCTTTTCAATTATGAGTGTCCTTTCGATTTCATCTTTTTGAACCATACTCTCAATATTCATTGCTACTACACAACACTGATCTTGCATAACTAATCATGTTACATTCATCTCGTCCTTATATGGTATCGTAAGTTGAACCAATGCACATATTCGACAAGCTTTATCATGATCAAGACTAACTGTTGCTATACTAACAGACGATGATCATTGGCTAATTATATACTGATACGAAAAAAAGACAAGTGTTTTACAAATCGAAACATTTGAATAGATTTATGTAATGTATGAAATCAGTAGCTGAACTGATCATATCGAAACTATTATTATTTATTTAGACTCATAAATATTAATACAAGGAAGTACCAGATAAATATGCGCCTCACAAATCTTATTTGATTTGTGTAAGGGCTGTGATACTGTCCAAATGCCCAAACTGAAGCAGGTGGTTTTCTTAGGGGGCCACCACCCGAAGTCTTTGACCTAAAGGTCTGATCCACAAGGCAGTGGAGCATCGTAAGGAAATGCAGTCCCATGGCAGCCGGTGACTAACGATTGATTAATACTCCATTTGTTCCCTCAGCAGGATACTGGAGCCAGTTCATGTGCACCATTGGTTTGGAATCAGGGTTTTCCAACTCCCCTAGGTGACCAACCCCGTTAAAGCACCGTACATTGGATTTTCGTCCTCTCAATTTCGTAAAAAACAGAAATGCCACTGTGAGAAGGTAGTGAGTAGGACTTCCCTGACAGAGGCTATATATTCGCGTGACCATGTGAGAGCATTTGGAGAGGGAGAGACGACTCTCCCCACTCTCGACCGCACCAGGGCATTTGGGGGCTATCGAAACTATGGAGATGTACAAGTATACAAACATACTTTGTCTTAATACATCCTATAAATACTTTGATCTGTCTAAGATCAATTGACGAAATATAAAGTTATTCTTACTTCTGAAACAAATTTACATAATTAAACGAATAAAATCAACATAAAACTTACACATTACCACCTCTCATTTCCTCAAATACTTGTGATTTGCCACCTGCAGCATTTGGACCTCTAGATGGTGAAAGAAAATAGGATTAGACAATAAAAAACCATGAGAACGGTTTAGAATAAATAAGGGATAAAAAGAATGATTCAATGGTTTAAGCATTTAATGAGGTATCTCACTGATTCAAACCCTTCTTTATTTATTTCGTTTTGGCCAGTTGTGTAGTATCACAAATCTTTATATATAGTATAAAGACTCTGCCAGGGAAGTCCTACTCACTGCCTTCTCACACCACGGGTGTTGTTTACGAAATTGGGAAGAAGAAAAGCGAATGCCCGGCGCTTTAACCGCACCGGTGGACACGGAAAGTCCACCTAAGGGAGTTGGAAAACCCTGATTCCAAACCAATGGTGTACATGAGCTCCAGTATAATGAAGGGACAAATGGCGCATGAATCAATTGTTGGTCACCGGCTACTATGAAACTGCACCTCCTTACGATACTCCACTGCTTTGTGAACCAAACCTTTAGGTAAAAAGCTCCGGGTATGGTTCCCTAAGAAAACCACTTGTTTCAGTTTGGGCACTCGGGCAGTATCACAGCCCTCACATAAATCGAATGAGATTTGTGAGGCGCATATATATCTGGTGCCCCTTTGTATCAATATTTATGTGTTTAAATAATAATGATAATACAGAGTAGCTTAAAAAACAAAGTATATAAACCTGGTTATACGGTGTGAATAGGTAATCTAATAATTAAAGATATTGAACTTTAATGAAAGTCATTAATTAAAGTCATTTATATTGTTTAAGACCGTCAGATATTATTACTATCACTTACATGCAAAGCGTAACTGTTTTAAAACGAGTAGAAAAACCTATACACGGCTATCAAGTTACAGTAATAAATCGGCTAATTATCCTATAAACCTGTTGCCATAGTGATGAAAAGTATTTACCTTTCATTCGAGTTATATAATAATTGTAATAACGAAACAAGGTCTTTAGAATGAACAATAAATTTTTGCAATTCAATGCAGTAATTTGACGGTAGAAGATGAATAGCTACTCAAAAAGCTGACTGCATAAAAACTACTTTAGATGAACTTACTCTCTACGCCATGGAGTTGAACTACCAGTCTCCATATCCGGATTTTTGAGTCTAGGAGAATAAGTAAAGAATAAAACAAAGAAAAGGAAATTTAATAAAGGTCTTTAAAAGCTATTACTTAAATTAAAAATGTCAGGTACTAGTAAAATGATATAAACGTTTGTACAGAATATCTATCATATACTAAACAATGTTTCAGTGAACTAACAGCACCGTGAATAATGTTATGCTTTGCAGTGTCTGATTCTGGTACACAGATTTTACTTCTCACAAACGAGCCCGATCATCTACTTCTGTAAGAAATACAGGAGTAGAGAACTTTTATTGTCCAACCGAAATAAGAAATACGTGTACATTCATTGGTACAAACATCTTTATCCTCGATAAAGTAAAGCCGCAATTCTAACCAATGAAATGTGTCTGGTAGCTTAAAAATGGAGGTCGAATTCCGACCAACGGCATGCGCTTACCATTTGGGCTACATCTGATTGGGCTAGATGGAACTGTTCGAGAACAGATACATGTAATAAACAGATTCAAATTGGTGTTTAATTATTTACTTAAACACATACATATTGTTACAAAAGGGCACCAGATACATATGCGCCACACCAAATAATGAGAATGGGAGGAGAAAGGGGGAAGATACGTATACATAAAGGAAGAATAAGGATGAAAAAAAGAGAAGAGTAGTGATGGGGGGACTGAAATGTACAACCAGAAGGATTCTCTCAGTTAAGAAAGTTATAATCACTCTTTATGAACAAAGTAAAAGAAGGTTACAGCAGGATCGCCACTGGCTTCTATTCTGAGCCATATCTGATAACGTCCGTAGCCACTGCGTTGCGCCATCTCTCGGACCCCAACCAGGGAGTCGTGAAGGACCAACAGAAGCTAGCCCTTTGCAGCATTCTTTCATACCACGACACCATGTCATACACTGATCACTTCTCCGAATTTTCCAACTAGTTCCACAGTCGGCAAATAATGCACGACGTGTAATTCTCTGGGACGACATTCGTGGAACATGTCCAAGCCTTCGAAGTCGGTGTTTCAAGATGGTGACACCAATTGAATTATCGTCTCTTCGCCCGAACACACGATGTCGAACCTCTGCATTACTAACATGGTGTTGCCACTGAATGTCAGAAATCCTTCGGAGACAACGATGATCACTTTGGTGAACAACACCCCCGCCACGAGAAGGCAGTGAGTAGGACTTCCCTGGCAAGGGCTATATACGTGTGACCTTGTGAGAGCACTTCGAAAGGGAGAGCGGACTCTCCCCACTCTCGGCTGTACCAGGGCATTTGGGGGCCAAATCAGGGTCAGTATAACTGATTTTGAGCCATGTAACCCAACGTCTTTAACTACTGATCGTGGTACCAATACGGCTGAATTTAACAGTCAACGACTCTATGAGCTGATGTTTGAGCTCTTTAGGTCTTCCCTTCCAACTTACTCTTACTTTAGTCAACATTATGTGTTGAGGTAAGTCATGATTGGATATGTCTAGCACATGTCGATGTCAATTCAAACGATAAGAATTCAGAGCTCTATAGTCTCTACACAATATTCTATATCTCATTTCAGCATTACTCAATGATCTCACCATATGCGAGCAATGCTTTGAAGACATCTACAAAACAAACACTTGAATAATAATTCAACATGTAGAGTGTATGTTGGAGTAAAACATTCTTGAGCTTCTTGTCAACAGTAGCGGATACCTTGAAGTGTTTTCTTTATCGTCGCTTATCATAAAAACACAAACACCTCCCTAATAATTAGAGCATTGTTGCACAATATCGACTGAATTCGTTTTACTAAATTCGCCCATCAGATTCGGATAGCCTGAAAATTATAGTTTTGAAACAATCAGTCAGTATATGTATCTCTTACCCTCGATTAAATCCACCACCCATTGTACTACCACCTCTACCGAATGGTCTTGTTCGTTCATTTTCTATAATTATGTAAGAAAAGAAATACATGGTTCATAATACCAAAAAGAAGAAATATACATATGGTGAAGAAGCAAACAACAATAACTTGTCATATAGTGGGCCTGCGAAACCACATCATCAAATAAGATTAGAGCGGTATATCAAAACAGTGAAATTAGTAGCTTAGTCTAAAAGAAAATAATATCCCAATATCCAAACAACGAAGAATATATAATAAAAATTTATTTAAAACCTAGGTTTATAAGATTACGTAATGGATGAAAAGGAATCAATATAACTGGAGCATATATGGGATTCCAACCAACTATTTTATTCAGATTACAAACTGATTTTAACTGGATCACCATTAGAAACGTGAGTAAGTGACTTCACAGCAGTGCACATTTATGATCTCTCAACTAAAAATCAAACCTAGGACCCTCAGTCTCATAAGCGAATATCTAACCTGTAAACAGTTAAGCCGAGCACTTGATGGAATGCAAGTATAACTTTAATCGATAAAGGATACTGTCTGACCGTCTTTCGTTGTCTTTAGTGGGTACCTTCGTCACACTCGACAAGATTTAACTCCAATGGTTACAGCTTCGTATTGCAACCCCGGAAATTTCCCCTAGAATTAATTCACTAGAGAATACATGATAATTGTCAGTATGGGGTTGTGGGTACAGTTGAATTTCACTGAAATAATGATTCGAAGTTTGGCAACCGTAGAAAACCAAGGTTTGAGGAAGACACCCACAAAGAACAATGAAATATAGTCAAGCACTATCGTGGAGAGATTCAAGCTAGACTTTTACATGACTGGATCCTCAGTAGTCTAGAGGTTAGGCGTTTGGGGACGAGACTGAGCGTCCTGAGTCCCATTCCCGGTTGAGTGGGGTCACGTATCCACACAGCTGGGAAGCCAAGTCCAACAAGAAACAGGCGTTTAGGTTTTTAGTGGTTGTCTAACTAAGATCAGTTCGTGATCTTAATAAAATTCAACAGTCTCAACAACCCTATCCCGAAAACTATTTTACTATTAGTAAATAGAAAATGGAATCAATGTCTATACATTGCTACATGTAAAAGCAGACTGTTTTAACCAATAAGTGATACACCGGTAATTGATTGGCTAAAATATTTGCCTTTTCATAGTAAGAAAAAGTTGGGAGATTTGAGAAATCAACACCACTTAACAGGTTAAACCTATTTGAGCGTGTCTGAAATACATACATACACTATCTCCATTTTTTTAACTTCATTATAGAAGTAGAAGATACTCGTAAGTTACTAGTATTTGACCACAGATACTTTAGAAATATTGCTTGCATCTGTTGGGATCATCGGGTAAGTAATAGTGAGGTTAGACACAGGATATGGTAAATCAGTTGATGAGGCCATGAATCTTCATCGACTGAGATGCTTAGGCTACGTGTTATGTATGCCTGAACACCGATTACCACAATGCGGTATGCTGACTAGTGTAGGGGATGGTTGGAAGAAAGTTAGGGGTGGCCAAACCAAAACGTGGCATCAGTGCTTGAAGTCACTAACTTCTAGTCTGAGCCATGTTTGTAGATGCAGACTACTTGGTTGGGGTCCGCGCAACTATCGTAACCAATGGTTGGAGACTCTAGGTGACATGGCTCAGAATCGATCACAATGGCGTAGGTGTGTACACTTCCTGTCTTCCCTTAAACTATGAGATTAAGATTGCTTCATGTCTTTCTTTTTTCCTGTACTATATACTTATATACAACCTTTCCTTTATATATTATCACCACTAAATTAACTACTTCTATGAATCCGGTGTTCATCTTGTTGTGCTAACGAGGTATGGCAACTTGGACCGATGCATATGTGTGCCTGGATCTACGTTGTAGCTGACTGACTGATATGATATTAAGTGACAAGAGCTGATAAAACACTAATAAGAGCAAGCAGCATGTAGGTACGTGAAAATTAGTTACCAGATTAAAGCTATTGAAAGGTATTCGATAAAAAATATAAGGTGACAGAAAACTAAATGTTAAATTAGAATGATTAAAAATTAAGATATGAATTAATTAGAGATTATCACAATATAAAATAACATTTGAATAAGTGATGCCTAGTTCAATTGTGAATTAAAATAATATAAGGTCATAATGATTGTACAGATCAACCACATTACAGTGTCACAATCATAGATCAGTACGAGTTTTCAATGCCATAGGTGTACAGATAATGGTTAATGGCATTTTAGGCGACTTTGTATATTTTCTTTTTGAGTAATTTGGAATGCTTCGTCAACGGAAAATTGACTACTTTAAGCAGTGAGATTTAGGATATGCGTTTTGTCGCCTTCCTGCATCCTTCTGTTGAAGTTCATACCAGGACTTGAATCCAGTACCCTTATCGCTTCATTAAACGTCAATCCAATGTTCACTAAGCAATACCTAATTTTTTACACCATTTTTTTTAACAAATGAAAAGAGTGAACATTGTGAAAAAATCCTATAAAATACATGTTCGAACAAACATCAGTCATTCTTATTATTGCTACCCCTAAAACTACCTATTTAATTAGAAAAGAACGTCTGATTAGAATCAGTACATTCGGTATGAATAATATGAAAAAAATTATGATTGGTAAATAACCAAGGAGTGAGTCTTTAACAGTTGTGGAGACTGTATGGTAAACACGTGATAACCGATTGGTCTTGTGGTGCCGGATTTTATTTAAGCAAGCAAAACAGTACATAGACTGAATTGAGAGTTGAATGGTGAAGAAGAGAGAACTTTTTGCCATTGGTAATCATAATAATATCTGTGTTTGAGCTGAAATACTGACGACATTGAAACCAACGGTATTTTAAAGGGCCACATAACCTAGAGGACAAATCCACAAGAGAGTGAAGCAACGTCAGATGATACAGTTCCATGGTAGCCGATGACTAAAATAGGTTCGCATAATAATTGCTGATTTAGGATCATAGAGACCATATGAAGGATATTGGTTTGGAATTAGGGTTTTTCAATCGTACTAGATGAGCTATCTTTATTCATCAACTTGACTTAAGCTTCACCAGTCAGTTTTCCGCCTTTCACTTTTATAAAAACACCCTTTCATTGTGAAGGATTTTCCAACCAGAAGTTGTAAATATTCAGTCATATGAAATCATTGAAAAAATAAGATTCTAAAAGAACAACAAAAGAACTTACCTCTACGTGATCCAACCTGAGTCCAACCACCAGCGTTACCAGAGTCATCTTCATATAGTGAATCAAATTCAGAAGGAACAGCTAAAAAAGCGAAGATTTCGGTAGCGAAAGATGACGATATATATGTATATACCTAACAATCTGACAATCATAAATCGATACATTTTGATATAGAACAGTGATTTAACTTACTTCTTCGTGGTCCACTTCGACTCCAAATATCTTTGGAAGGATCACTGCGGGTGTTTGGTGTATTATCGAAACCAACTACATATGTATATGTAAATAAAACGAAAAAATTCTTTTCAAATGAATTCTTCATACAAAATCAAATGCTTATTTTCATTAGGAAAAAAGTATTATCTGACTTACCTCGTTTACTTCCCGATAACCGACCAAAATCTGAATATCTCGAAGTGTCATCACGTCGAAAGTCTAAAGTGAAATTAAAAATGATAGTTTGTAAATTTCTATTAGCTTTAGGAGACAAATATATATATCAGAAGGGGCTTTCGTGGAGATTTTATATAGTTGAAATCATGAGACAATTGAAGCTAAACCACCATGGAAAACATGAAAGCACTGGATGGCCATTTCGTCCTATTGTGGGACTCTTCGGCAGTGTGTATCCACGATCCCGCCTCGCCAGATTCAAAACCAGGACTTACCAGTCTCGCATCAAAGCACTTAACCGATAGACCGCTGAGCCGGCATCCAACAGTGTTAATGTCTGTGTGTGTATGAATAATGGAATAATATTCTAAAGCGTAATCAATTGTGATCTCATAAGTTTCAGTCGACGGTTTTTTTTGAGAATTTTTATGAAATAGTATTGAAATCATTGTATTCTATGACGTTAATAAGAATAATGATCAGAAGTAAGTTCATACTGAGATTTTAAATAATAAAATATGTAATAAGATATACACAATATTTGGAATTATGTATGGTAACCATCAGGAATTGTCGATTTAGACATGTTCGTTTGGAATTAGACCTAAAAAAGAAGCCACAAACGTTCAAACTAACGATATACCAACAAATTATGAAGTCATAAACTATTGGACTGAATCGTGTTATAGTAGTATATGATGACCAATTGGTTGGTGACCAATAGATAAAGAGGAATTGTATAGTTCCATAAGCATCAGGAAGCACGAACGAACAAACACAAAACTCATGTGTATATATACAGTAAAAAACTGTCCTTGGAAAACGTTATAAAATAATGTACTAAAAGAGGGAACGAACTAATGATATTCATAGTCCCTCCAAGCGGGAAGTACAAAAACTGAGGATGAAAATGGGTGCTGTTTGCTCGAAAATGAGAAATTAAATTTTTAAAATAAAACTACGAGAATGAAACGTTTATCAAGTGATTGATGAGGATCTAACATCCTCAAAAAAACGATACTGACAGTTTTTAGTTATTCTAAACATCATAAACTACTGTGTTAATGGATATTTGTATCAAATATCGAGTTGATTATATCACCAGTTAGGAGTTAGTAATGTGATCTAGCAACAACAAATAGATGATACAGGGTGAGATAAATACGTTACACGTTTAAACACTTGAAAAACTAAACTGAGAACATTAGATCCATATATGATATGCTAGATAGTTGGGACATTAGATTACATCGCATAATGATCAAATCCTACCAACAATAAAAGACGAATTTACTGGTCAGAATAACTAATTATTGACATGAGTTATAAATAACCACATAGAGTGAAATCAGAGTCAGGTATATAATATTCACTTATATTCCTATACCCGGATGTGTCTTTCTTTTACTCATGAATCCAATATTGTTATATCTAAAGCTTTGGTTCTTACTATGCCGCGTACTGCTAAACTACTTGAACGGTCGAACCCGCAAAATCGCAAGAGAGAAGACAGAAGACTAGTAAGTAGGAACTTTATTCCCCAAAACAGTGTCAAAATATAGTACAGAAACCTCATGTATTTATAGTTATTGGCTGAATGTAAATCATCATTTCGGTCAACCAATAGGCACATAGGGGGGTCATTCTTATCCATCCAATAGGGAAGCTACACATTCTAGAATATTACCCCTAGCAGTGATTGGATGGAATGTCTTCGACTCTTTCTGGGCTTCTTGAAGGCTTCCTAGAGTTTACCAACGAGCCATCCTTACAAATATGTTTCGTAATACATCGTTTATGGATGTTAAAACGACATAATTTTTTTAAATAGTTCAGACTAATTTCATTGATTTACACTACTGTCGGAGGAATATGAAATCCTTAAATACAACTTATGAGAAAAGAAATCACGATGGATTTAAGTTGAAAGTGAAATGTCAACTTTTAACACATTTTTGTTTAGTGACAATTACTGCGTTCATAGATCTTAATAATTACAACCAACTAAAAATGCATTTTTTTATACTTTCATTGAAGTCATCACTAGTAAAGTTCCACTACAAAACTGAACTCTTCTCTCTCTTTCTCATTAATTGATGAAGGGGAGGGGGTAGGGAACAAAAAGGCAAAAATAATTTTGCTTGTTGTAATTAAATCCGAGTTGCACGAAAGCGTTAAATTTTCATAATCCAAAAAACTGGAAAAAAAACTTACCACGAAACGCGTTACCAGAAGCATTACTTATTTCAGATTGACGATGTCGAGCAAAAGGATTAGCCGATACAGGTTCATCTGAATAGTTATTTTTTTAAAAAAAAAAACAACCAAGAAATCGTTAATTACATAGTGAATGAATTTTGGCAAGGGAAAAATCAACCCAACAGTTATAACTTTACATACATGTATTGGTATCGGCTTCAGAATTTTCAAGAGATAATTTCTCACTTGTCATAGTAACTAAATTTTTGGGCAAGAAGTTTGAAAGATGCATGTTTTATGAACACATATGAAAAGTAAAAAAATCTCAATTATATATATATAGAATAACAATTTATATAAGCATTATTTCTTTTCACTGACATGCATCTACTTTTAATTATATGGCTCTAAACTTAACGGTTTATAAACAGAATAGAGTGATGCAGGGATCAATACCAAAGCTGGGTATGATATTTCAGTTGAGATGGCTGGGATATGTGTTACGTATGCCCAACAACTGGCTGCCACGACGTGCTATGTTCCATGGTGCAGGAGTAGGTTAGAAGAAAGATAGAGGAGGCCAGACCAAAACGTGGCACAAAAACATGAAGACACTGACAATTGGACTGAGCCATGTTGGTAGGTGTAGACTACCTGGTTGGGATTCGCGGGATGATAGCAATCGATGGTTAGAGACCTTGAATGACATGGCCCAAAATCGTTTGCAATGGCGAAGGTGTATCCACTCTAATCTTCTGAATTTTTCATGTCTCTATCTTTTTTCTCTCTCTAAATTTATTTCACTGTATTATACTCCTTCGATAACATCTTTAAACCCTAGTCTTTTATATAATCCTTATACTCTTACTACTTCTACCACTATGTGATTTGAATCGACAACTGAATCTCTGTGTTAATATGGTATAGCAACTCGAACTGATGTACGTACGTATGAAGTTTTACGTTGTAATTGACTGACTGATGATAATTTACAATAAATTGAAAATGGAATGAACATTTTTAAAATAAAAATACAAGAATTAAAGTTTTGGGGTGTCCCAATCAGTGGAATTCTGTATTACCGACGTTTGATGATGACTTAATGTAAGTCACTGCTACAGGGTAAATAATAATGACCATAATTTAAACTTGTGTTAATGTAATTCGGTTAAATGTTTACGCTGAAGGAGTGACTTACATTAAATCACAAAACGTCAAAAATCTAAATTTCTACTCATTGGGAAATTACGAGAATAATGACGGTCGTAATCCATTTGTTTATTGTTTCTAGAAAGTGTTATGATTTAACAAAGATATATATTTATTGATGCAAGCCATTTATCTACAACATAGGACCAGATACATATATGCATCTGTCCATGTTGCCACACCTCATTAGCACAACAAGACGAACACCGAATTCATAGACGTACTTACTTCAATGGTAGTAATGTATAAAAGAGAGATTGTATATAAGGATAAAGTACAGGAAGAAAGAATTAGTTGGTAAATATAAAGGTATAAAGTAATTTTAATCTCATGAATCAAGAGAAGAAAGAGTGTACAACCATTGGTTACGATAGTCACACGGACCCCAATCAAAGAGTCTGCATCTACCAACATAGCTCAAACAAGAAGTTCGTGACTGTAAGACCTGATGCCACTTCCTTGTTTGGTCACTCTTAACTTTCTTCCAATCATATCCAACACTAGTTAGCATTGTGTACCTTGATAATCGGTGGTTGGTGATGTGAAATACGTGAATTAGTCATCTCAATCGATATAGATTCACAACCTCATTAACTGATTTCATATAAGTGAAGACATTAATTTCTTAAAAAAGCTGTTATTTGAAATATAGTAAATGACAAGTTGAAGTTTTTCTCTCTCCAATGTTTCCCAAATGAATATAAATCACAGAAAATAACGATTCAGGGTGTTATTATTTGACTTAGAAAGTTACACATTAGACTTGCTAAGATTTTACATTTACAAGTCAGTAAAAAGAAAAGAGAAGCATAATTCGATATAAACACAAACCTTTTTTAATATCTCCACGTGTCCATGACTTGGACTCTTCCTCAAGTCGAGCAGCTTCACGTTCTGCCGCTTCTTTAGCTTCTATAGTACATCCATGAAAGAAGTAAGAGAAAAGACAAACAAAAGTAAAAATAATAAGAGGTTACTTATTAAATTTTAAATGACTCAATTAGCAAATGGTTTAATTGATTTTTATTCCGATTAGGTTGTTTTCTACGCGATGAGGTTGCTGACCCCATGACCAACTTTCATTTATCTGTGTAGTGATTTTGCATAAGAATTTAGTTACAAGTATATACAGATATGTTTTAAGACTGAACATTCACTCATTTAACAAATAAGCGTGTCTCTTTAAACCTATTACTTTTCTTGTGCTTATTCATATGGCTAATTATGAGCTTTTATTTATGTCCAATTTTAATGTGTAACTGTAAGCAAAGATGGATTGTGACTAGCAGTGGAATCCACGACGCGCGTTTCGTCCTATTTGGGACTCGTCAGCTGGATGTACCTGCATCTCAGAGTTGATGTTCACTCTGAGACTCGAACCGAGTACCTTTCGCTTCAAACGCCATTGCGTTATCCACTCGGCCACTTGCTTGTGCGAAACGAAACGCGCGTCCTGGATTCCATTACTAGTCACTATCCATTTTTGCTTACAATGCTTGTGAATTAAGGCTATATCGAGGCAATATGCACAGTATACACATATGCCGGTTAGAGACTGACCAGTTGCAGTCCTAACACATCGATGGGATGATTCAAACAAACAATACTAAATGAATTATTGTGTAACTGTTTATCTCTCTTATGTGATTGACGATTCGAACAAAACAAACTCACCCAATTCACCATTTATGGTAACATCAAACTACAAACACTATAAAATGCAATCAACACATTAATAAATGGAAATTTATATTTCCTTTGCCCCCAAGTTTGGTCTGTTGATTAAGACTTTACATTTTAACTCTGGTAGGAATAATCATAGTAGAAATGTTTGAATCGACTAGTGATACAAATTCACACGGGATAAATAAGTAAAGGATCGCGGTTAGACCTAGTTAAGCAGTCTAAGAACACAGAATACAGCATTCGATATTTCTAAACGAAATCTAGGAAAAATAAAATACCTTGTTCTCGTTTCTGACGTTCAGCTTCTGCAGCTAGTTCACGTTTTTTCTGTTCTTCACGTTCTATTGCTTCTTGTGCAGCTCGACGACGTGCCTCAGCTTCTAATTCAGCCTCATGTTTAGCTCTTCTTTCAGCCAATCTTTCTGATCGTGTTTGATCACACAGAGCCTCCCATTCTGCCAATTTAGCTCTATACCGATTATCACGAGCTTCTTTTAATTGACCAACAAGACGCTACAATTGTACATAATAAACAAATATATCTGAACTATCATCGAAGCATCAGAGTAATGAAATTCATGACCGATAAATTTGAAATAAGTCTATATCACAGTGTGCTTTCTGGAACTAGAACAACGATGGGAAATAGTTCAAAATGTTTTATACTAACATTAAATTAGTGATGAAAAAGTGTGATTTATAAATGCCCAGTACAACGTAGATTTATTTTCAAAGAATTTTAAATGATACAAAGTGTTTGATTCGATAACGAGACTGTTTTTATTTTCAGAAGAAAAATTTTGATCAACCATATACCTTATTTACACTCGTTAGTAATACTTGGTAGATAAACGATAATCGTTTGAGATAATTCGTAAGGTTTGGCCTTTCGTCCTCTCAATTTCGTAAACAAACCCCTGCTACGAGAAGGCAGTGAGTAGGACTTCCTTGGCAGTGGTTGTATGTACATGACCACCTAAGGGCATTTCGAGAAGGAGAGCTGACTCTCCCCACTCTCAGCCGTACCAGGGCACTTAGGGTTAAAAACAATTTAACAAGAGCAATTTATTTATCATAGACTTTCAAGAACATGTACTACAACCAAACATTATCACTCAAGATAAAACTGTCAGTAGATTAGATATTTCATTTTTATTAGAACCATGAAGTGACTTGTGAGTTCGCATTTACAACAGCAGAGTGATGACTTAGTATTTTAGGGCTTTCCACTTTCAGCCAGTAAGTCATAGGTTTAAACTTTGCTCTATCTACTTCAGTTTCAGCAACCGGGAATGTATTACTAGCACTCAGATTTGAAGTGTGGCCCAAAATCAAGGACACAAATCTGTACTCACAAAATAAGCTAAAACAACAGCTATGAACAAGTTGGTTAAAATGATTGAAAAGAGCAAAGAAACATGCAAGAAAACGAATACCTGAACATCTGATTTCATTCGAATCAGTCGATTACGTTCTTTCAATTGTCGTGCATGCTCAGCTTTTGAATGCTCTTCAATTTCTCTGACACTCTGCTCAAATAATTCACGAGATTCAATAGCTTCCGGTTCAATATTTGCCTGTAACAATGGGATTTCTTCAATACGACAAGCACGTGTATAATAGTCCAACTTCTTCGCCATTGTTTTAGCCTTCTCTGCTAATTCTTTTCGCTTTTTCTTCACCTCTTGTTTCTAAATGATGAAAACAAACAGAATGATTAAAACTAAAGTAGGAAAATAACAGTAGTCTTGACTATATACAACCACTAAACAATCAAATTAATATTATTTATTAAAGGTGTATTCATTGTTGAACTGAATCATGTAGATGGGTGCAAACTACTTGCTTGGGGTCCGTGTGATTTTCGTAATCAAAGGTTAGAGGCTTTGGCTAATATGGGTCTTAAGCGTTCACGTTGGCGCAGGTGCCTCCATTTCCTTGTATTCCACCAAATTCTGAGATTCTAAATCCCTCTTTTTATCTTTCCGAATCGAATCTTTGATGCCTGATTCTTTTTGTTACCGTTAACGCTCAGTCAGTCAGCCAGCTACAACGTAGGACCAATCACATATATGCATCGGTTCAAGTTGCCACATCTCATCAGTACAACAATAATGTCACTATGTCTACTATTCTGGGATTTATGGATGAGGGTATGGCGAATAAAGCCAATGTGCACATGTGCCAGGTTCTGAGTTGATTATGACCGGCTGATATATGTATTCGAAAACAAAAGACTATGGAAAAAAGTAGAACATTTGCTGCTAAGGTGATAATAGAATAACTCAACTTTTGTTAATAATCTTAAGGTTTTACTGGTAACGGCAACTGAGAATGCTTTCTTCTTAACTCAATTTATTAAATGACCTTTGCCTATTTCTGATTAGTTGTCGCTACTTTTCTGTGTGCTCCATAGCAACGCTTTCGTTACTACATATGCTAAGATATGCTTGGATATCAAGTTTTACTTACACTTTATCTTACAGTAGCAGCGGATAATTATGAAATGTCGCACGTAAGATGTATAGCTTATTTAAGTTCAGATTTGTTTCATTCGTATTAGGAAATCCACAATTGTTCATCAACAATATATACCATCAACCCAATACATAGTCGTTTTTTTATCAAGAAATAACACTTGTAGTAAAAAATTAAACATAAAAACATTAATTTAAAGCTATCAAAATAGTGCTGAAAGTAACTGGAATCAACAATTGGAGGAGGCGGAGAGGGACTAAACTTTTTAAAATTCGAATTTTAACAAATCCCTGCTGATTAGAAACTTAGAATCTAAGGAATAACAAATAGGTATAGGGACCTGCACCATTGTGAACGTTTTTGAGCCACATCACCGAAGGCCTCTAACCACAAATTGTGATTATCACGCGGACCCTAACCAGGTAGTCTAAACCTACCTACAGGACTCAGTCCAATAGTTATTGTCTTCATGAACAAATGACATGTTTTAATTTGGCTACATTTATCTCTCTTCTGACCCATAAATATACCAACAAACATCGAGCATCCAGATAGTCAGTGGATAAACATATATAGTACATATCTTAACTATTTTAGTCGATTAATACTCATTTTTTGGTTAATCGATTTGCCTCACTTATAATTCAACATTAGCTGAGTGTGAATACGACATCAATGAATTGTCATAGTTGAAATCATGAGTCAATTGAAGCTAGACCATCATAGAAAACCTGGAAGCACTGGACGGCCGTTTCATCCTATTATGGGACTCCTCAGCAGTGCTCAACCGCGATCCCGCACAGTGCTTCGAGGTTTTTCATGGTGGTCTAGCTGCAATTGACTCATGATTTCAACTATGAAAATACTGAAATCTTCACAAAACCACTTCTAATCAATGAATCGGTTGAATATATAGTCAAAATAAAAACATTGTAAGCCCCCTAAAAACATAATTGATTTCATAACAACTGGAATTCCGAGAATAAACAAGGGTGTATTGATTTTCCAGGAAATCATTTTACTACTCTAGTAGTCAATACTTTGAGAGAATTTTTCGAAGATTTTCTCATAGCGACAAACATACGTAACACACAAAAAGGTTAATTGACATATAAATCATACTGAGAATAACATACTTGTTTGTTAATAAGTTTATCTGCATCAAAGTTTTCAAGTTGTTCTTCTGTTAACTCTTTTAAATCAAGTTTTGTATCAATTTTTAAATCTAAAAACATTTTCAAACTAGTACGTGCCATTCGTAATTTTAGACGAGCTTTTTCATCTTCAGTTTTCATACGTTCACGTTGTATAGCTTCATTGGCCAAATTAGTTTCTTCCGCTTTTAATAGACGTTCTTGTTCTGCTTGACGTCTTGCTTCAACAATGCTGTAATACTAGAGTGGAAAACAAAACAATGAATATTTAAGTATCTTTACAATTTTGGTGAAGATAAACTACAAACAACCATTTTTTTATTTAGTAAGAACAAATTACCTGGTCTCGTTTAACCTGATACGTTTCAATTTCTTCCTTCCGGGCTTCGATTAAACAACGTCGATTAAGCAATTCACTACGTAAGACTTTTTCATTCTTTCGATAATCGTGAACAAGTGCACGTCGACAATTAGCTAAGGATTGACCAACTTCTAGAATATCAGTTATCTGTTGCATCACTTGAGCAAACATTGTTAATTGACGAGACAATTTATCGGGATCATTTACATGGGTTGACTAAAAGAGTTAAAAATAAAGTTACGTCATCAAAAACACTTTTACATACAAAAACGCTGAAAAATTTAAGTTTACATATCCTAGATACTTTCAACGCTTGAAAGAGTAAAAGTAGTTTGTAACATTCACTAAATAATGGGCGAAGTTGGAAACATAAGTATGCAGTGATTAGTGAGGCAAAAAAGATTTTAATATTGGGTACTCAGTAGGAAACCATGGACCTAGGTTTCGCGCTATGTGGTACTCGCCTGGAAGGTGTACCTGGAGCCTTAAGGGAACTGACGATGCCTGGCAAATTGAAACCTTCTTCACCTAGCTTCACAGTATGAGACATTATCACGAAGACATTAGAGTCACAAGTGACTTGTAGAACTGAGATATCTGCAAGTGATTGGTCACTAATCAATGGCTAATCAGTTGTAATATTGGGTACATCTAACATTATGAATAAAGCATATTGTCTGGAGTTTTAAAGATGGGGGAAAAATTTCGCAACCGAGAACCATGGATAAAACCCATTTGGTGGTTGCATAAGAGCTAGGTGATACTACAAACTTACCCAAAATAACGTAGGAAGCGAGGGGTTACGAACATGAAACTTACTAATCAGTCTGCCATACATAAAAGAAAATCTGGTACATGTGAGTTGGTTCAAGTTGCAGCATCATATTAACATAGCAAGATGAAATTACAAATAAAAATCCCAGAATAGTAGGAAAGATTATGCATAAATAAAATGACTCGAAAAGAAACACTGAGTTCGCAGAATGAAAAAAGTACAGGCATTTGAAAACAAAACTCTGCCTGTAGATCTTCTGGAGTTACTACCCACACAAAGGAGGAGAGTTGGGCATAGGGTCAACAACCCCATCCCGTAGAAAACGAACTCGCTGAAAAAACGCTAAACAGAGAAAAACAGTTCAATTCTGCCATTTGAATTCAAGAAAGAATTATGACGCCTCAGGATGAAAGCTGAGATTTTTCGGAAGTCACGAAACTAGTTCCTCTTCCAACAACCAGAGAAACAACTTTTATAGGTACATGGAACATCCGGACAATGTGGGAGACTGGGAAGACAAGTCAAATAGCAACAGAAATGTAGAGATACAACATGGTGGTGCTCGGAGTCAGTGAAACCCATCGGATCCAAGCTGGATATGAAAGTTTAGATTCGGGAGAGATGCTGGTTGTTGTAACGTATGCCCTGAGCAGTCTTGGGTGCTATTCGGTCCTTCCTATCTGTCTAGCCCAGCCAGTTGAGTCCAGAACACAAATAACAGCCTCGGCAATATGAATCATTATTTACAAACACACTGGGTTTTTATACAAACCAAAGTAATCAATAAACTGATTATAACTCAAGAATCGTATGATCATAAATCAAAGATCAAAATAATAGAAAACACGAATATGAATAATTTAGTTACGTAACAACTGTACAATAAGAAATAGTCATAATACATTGGTCGATAAATAGTCCTTAGAGTTATCATTCATAATTCACCAGGGGATATAACACTGGTGTACTCCACTCACGGAGAGGAAAGTCCTCAACACACACTCAGGAAGTTGCTCTAATGTTGTCCAAAGAAGCACAAAATGCACTTGTAGAATGTGAATCTCATGGATCCAGAATCATGAAAACATCCTTCAAAACAAAGAGGGATGGAATCACAATGAATGTTATCCAATGTTATTCATCCACCAAAGATAGCGACGACGACGATAAAGATTAGTTCTATGAAAGGCTGCAATCAACCATGGCGAAGTGCCCAAGAAAGGACGTGACCATCTTGATGGGAAATCTAAGCTCTAAAGTCGGAGTGGACAACATCAGATATGAAGATATAATGGGACGACATGGACTGGGACATAGAAATGAAAATGGGGAGAGATTCGAAAATTTATGTGCATTCAACAAACGGTTATATGCGGCACAATATTCCACCACAAACGCATACACAAAGCTACATCGATCCCGCCGGATCACACAACAGAGAACCAGATAGATCATATTTGTATCAACAAAAAATTCAAAAGGTCAGTGGAAAACGTGGGAACCAGGAGACGAGCCAAAATAGCTTCAGATCACCACTAGCTGATTGTGACCAAGATGAAGCTGAAGAAACACTGGACATCTGGGGGAACAGCATCACAAAGGTTCAATATAGCCTTCCTTCGCGATACTAACAAACTCAATAAATTCAAGATAACTCTCAACAACAGGTTCAAAGCCTTACAAGATCTACTCTAGAAAGAAGAAACTATTATAAAGGACAACCGGAAAGGAATCAAAGAAGCAATAACTTCAAGATGTCAGGAGGTTCTGGATCGCAAGAAGCATCATAATAAGGAATAGATCCCTATGGAAACACTGAACAAGACTGAAGAAAGGAAGAAAAAGACAGCAATCAACAACAGTCGAACACGAGCAGAGAAAGTCAAGCCACAAGTAAAGAACACAGAAGAACACTACTCAGAAGCAAACAAACTAGTGAAGAAGAGCATTAAAGCTGACAAGCAGAAATACATGGGTGAACTAGCAACGACAGTGGAAAAAACTGAAAGAGAAGGGAATAGGAAACAACTAGATAATACAACAGAGGAAACTAGCAGGGAGATATAGCAAACCGGAGAGACCAGTCAAGGACAAAGAGTGAAAGACAATCACAGAGATTCAAGAACAGAAGAAAAGATTGGCAGAATACTTCGAGGAACTGCTGAGTAGGCCAGCTCCATTGAATCCACCGAACATCGAAGCAGCACACACTGAACTTCCTATAGATGTCACTACTCCATCAATGATCGAAGAAATCAAAATGACAATCAGACAAATCGAGAATGGGGAAACAGTAGGACCTGACAATATACCAGCTGAAGCACTGAAGTCAGACATTAAAGTAACCTCAAACATGCTCCACCTTTTATTTAAGATTTGGGAGGAGGAAAAAGTGCCACCGACAGAATGAAAAGAAGGATACCTCATCAAGATATTAAAGATCTGAGCAAATGTGAACACTACACAGACATCACATTGTTGTCAGTACCAGTAAAACTTTGTAACATAGTGTTGCTGAACCGGATGAAAGACGCAGTAGACGCTCAACTTTGAGATCGACAAGTTGGATTCCGTAAGGATCGGTCGTGCACAGACCAAAATGCAACACTATGGATCATCGTGGAAAAATCAATTGAATGGAATTCATGACTGTACATCAACTTCATTGACTATGAGAAGGCCAAAGAACATATTACGTTGGGAAATAGAAGCAGATAAGAAAAGAATGAATAACAACTGGAAAGGATTGCTCAGGACAGGGTTGGATGAAGAATGCTGGTGGGATGCCTATGCTCCTCCACGAGGCGTAACAGGCGTAAGATTTTAAAACAAAAGGTGAATACATCTGTGTTCTTACGACAGATCGTGAGCTATGTAACATAGCATACCCAATCATTAGTTACGACAAAAGTGTGGACTTCAACCACACAGTCTGAATTTACTAAAACGTTTCAGTCAGATTATCAATGGCTTTATCGACTGATGTTACATATTGGTTTACTCATATGTAATCTACAGCTTGGAAAAGAAGTATTTTAATCAGTATATTACTTCATCAGTGACAAACAGTAGCAAATTCAGATAATGCATGATTTGGTCCGAATTTACAAGTTGTGAGAATTACCCTTTTTCCGAAAAGATGTGTATGGATTAGGAGCCCTATCAGCTCTGATTACCTAAAAATTGAGAAATGTTTGCAGGAATACATAAAAACTTATTGGTTTTTACCAATTTTAACAGCCTGCAATAAAAAAAGAAACATCTATCCATTAAAAAGCAACTATTCTCGTAAAACAGTTTGCTTCTGCATGATTTTATAGATTTCGAAGGTCTTCAGTCTGGGCAGTATCACAGCCCTACATAAATCAAATGAGATTTGTGATGCGCATATTTATCTGGTGCTTCCTTTACCAATATTTATGTGTTTAAATAAATAAATAAATCTTCGAAGGGTAGAAAACCTGGTCAAGTTCCTAGTGTTCGATCACGGATACTGCCAAAAATAATGCTTGCGGTCGGTGAAATCACTCCGCAAGCCGTGCTAAGCATAGACGCAGAGTATTGAGCACGAATAAAATGTTGATTATTGGTTCTATAAACCACTATCTACTGAAGTGGTCTAGATACATATTCTAAACAAGCCAAGAGTAAAGTGATTTCAGTTTATAAAGTTATTGCTTCCTTAACGTTATCAAGAAGCATAGACTTCCTTGCTGGGGCTTGGGGGAGTTCGCAACCCATCGCTGAAGAACTCAAGTGATATGGCTTGAAATTAAACACAATGGCCCCGATACCTTCTTCGATTTTTTTAGACTTTTTTTCGCTGAATAGGACGTTTAATCTAATATATTTTGTGTAAGCCATATTTTGTAAGTAGACAATTTTTGTTAGTATTAAGGACCACTGAATAGTGGTTTTGTTCATGCTTTTATTTGTTGGATAACACCTAAATTATTATACAACACAGTCCATAGAAATTACATAGCATCATACTCCTAGTTAATGTGAGTGGTCAAAGAACATTTGTGTAAAACAATGAGAAACGATAGAACGGAACAAGATGTTAGAACTTAATTCGTTTTTAAACCTGGTTGTAGTTTACATTAGATACGTTAAGTAGCTAGACAGATCAAGACTAAAACTTCCGTTGTACAAATCAATCTGTACATACACAAAACTTACACTACAGTCATTCAGATGAACTTTTTAATAAATATTACGGAACTGGTAATGTAATATACCTGTGATACTAACTGTCCACCATATTCACATTGACTTATTCCCAGATCTGTAAATTTATCGAAGAAAATAGCTTGTTGCAAATGATTGACACGTATAGGTAGTTCCAAATTATGAATTAACTCAAGTACAATTCTTTCAAGTCGAATAGGCTCCATGAATGGGCATAATTTGACAAATTCGTCAAAATTCAAGCTTTGATAGACTTGAGATAATTGCAGAAGTGTTTTTGCTACGATAACATCGTGCAGTTGAGTAATGTACACTTGAAGATCTGAACGAGTGGTTATATGGGCAAGTGCTGGTTGAACAAGTTCCCAAAGTTTCAAAGGTTGAAAGTCCGCTTCTAAAACTTGGTACAACTTGGCTAGATTTGATGGGACAACAGTGTGCACTTTATGACGAACAAGATCACGTATTAAACTTTGACGAGTTGGTACTTGAATGAGACCTAGAATTCAGTGAAATGTCACGAACAACTATAGAAAATAAATTACCCAAAAGTCCAGCAAGTGTTTTTTGCTTCATAATAGTGTACTCCCCAGATAAGAATTTGTCGGCATTAAGTTTCGCATTCGGCAAAGGAATGGCGACAGTTGCACAAAGTACACGAGATCCAAGATCAGATAGTTCTTCACGAGTTATATTCTTTTTCTGATCACGATATAACGTGTAAAGTTTGTGTAAAGCAGCTGCGTGATATAAATGACAACCGCATCGTCGAAAAAGTTCCGCTGTTTTTGAGTAATAATTGGTCATTAACGAAGGCATAGCATGTATTCGTGAAATCATCATAAAACTCCAAATATCTTCAACGGTTTTAAAAGCTTCGTTATACATATCTAGTTCCATGGCACAATCCAACTGTCGTAATCTAGTCTCTAAATGTAATGTCTGTGTTTCGGCATTATTCAAATTTATAGCATTAAGTGCATTAGGTTGTAACTGATTCTGGACCTTCTGAGTATGTTGTCGAATCTTTTATAAGTATGCAGAAAATAATGGGATGGTTAAATGAAGAATAAACATACCAGTTCACACAGCTTTTTGAATTCAGTCTTCCGACCAAACTTCAAACAGAAGTTATAAGCTGTAAAGTGTACGAAAAAGTGGTTAGTTATGTTCAAGACTTACCATCATGAGCTACTTCATGATACAGCTTTTCTAACTTAGAATTGCTACGTAACAAATCTAGCACCAAACGATAGGAATCCCAGAGAAATTTCAACCATGGCATCAGAATTGTTCTAGCAGATCGATCTTGAGTACCCTCCATACTAACTGCATTTAGCATGAGACTATGCAATGAAAAGAATAGGAGACAAGTACTTCAACCGACACGTACAAAATGCAAGAAAAACTTCATTCTTTCATAAATTTAGTCTTAGACTAGTAATTAAAACTAAAAACGATATATTGTTCGGTTTTTGATCACTGATTTGTATGGCAAAACGCAGTCAGTTAGCTACAACGTAGGACCAGGCACATAGATGCATCGGCCATACCTCGTTAGCACAAGATGAAAACTGGATTCATAGAAGTGGTTAATTTAGTGGTGGTAATATATAAAAGAAAGATTGTATATAAGGATATAGTATAGGAAGGAAGACAGATATGAAGCAAGTCCATATTGTCTCCCGATCATTTTTGTCAGCTGTTTCAGAAGTAAATAGTGATTATTATTACCAACTTATAACCAAGTATAGGTTCGTACACAGCTTCAAGCAACACTAAATGTGAGGGATAGTGATGCTACTTTGTTACTCAAATCTGAGGTGGAACAGGGTTTAGGCTTGCGACCTAGTGGCTGAAAATCGAATGTTTTAACCACTAAGCCACCGCTCCACAGTAATAAATATAATGTGTTAAGATGCTAAGGTGTTAAAGTACATTGATTATATTACAAAACGTGTATAAAATAACAAGTATACGATGTGAAATGAACGACTAGTACATTATATCAACTTAGTCAAGGTAGCCCCCTCGAGATACAAAAGATCACAGTTACTATGATAAGCATTAAAAGTTGTTTACAGTGCGAGAAAATAGAATACTTATGATGCTAGGTTTGACTAAATAAGAGACCAAACCTAACAATAGTCTTAAAAAATGATGCTGCTGATTAACAGAGGATTTTGATAAAGTATCTTAGCTTAAGTTGAGATGACTATAGTAGCATAAAAGCTCGATATTTTTGGAGAATCAGGAATTTGTAAACCTTTATGCTGCCATGCTAGGTCATGGGTGACCACTACTGAGGAGTCTCATACTACGTAAAAACAAGAATCCGGTGCCTCCTGATTTTCAGTGGTTGTTTAATCAACATCAGTCTATAGTGCAATTTTCATTTGTTCATAAAACGAATTTTCCCAGTACTACGTCAGCTTTTTAATTTACTTACCAAGTATCTAATTTTGGTTGTCTGACTTTCAGCTCCAGTACTTGTGAAGGTTAGTGATAACATATAGTTTCGCAAGCCAAAGAGAACGTAACTGGCTTCAAAAATGTAACCAATTGATTATAAGCTGAGTGCTTCTAGTTAATAAGCGACCGCTGACCCATTGTCTGTCAGTAGCTTTACGGTCGCAGCCTGTTCGGATTTTACCCATACCTCAAGTAGGTTGGTGGTATGGATCCTGTTACTGACCAACTAATTTTCAGTGTATGTTCGGAATAAGATCTGGTTCATTATTACAAGAGCTCAAGGTCCAAAACAACTATATGAAAATCATTCAGTGATTTCTTCGAAGGTTGAATATGATGAAAATGCTCAAAGATATTTATGTTATCTATTATTAACAACCATGTCTTACAGTCCTTTAGGTTAAAGGGTGTACCAACACATACTACAGATTTATTGCATAATAAAACTCGAAAACACGTAAAAAAAGAGCTAAATGCATACAACCTACAAACCTTTCTGGAGTTTCCAGAACATCCAAATCTTCAATTTCCATAATAGCACTCTTTGACACTTCTTGAGCTTCTTCAGTTTTACCCTTTATCTGATTCAGGTAAGAACGAATAACTTGTTCAAGTGAAACAGTGTTTTCCTAGTAGACATTAGCAAAGTAAAAAATATATATCAAGGATGGAAAAACAATTACCAAAACACTCATATTTTTGTACGTATAAATTGCTTTTCTGAAGTGGATGTTCTTACGGAGTTCTACACAAAGTTCAACAAACAGCATCATTAATTCTTCCAAGACTTTTTGCCATTGTTTAGTTCGTCTAACCCGCATCACTTCATAAAGAATTTCCAAAGCGTTAGATTTTTTATCACATTTTATAAGTTCTATTTAATAGAAAAGAGAAAATGTTAATGATATATGTATATATTATACATCTTAATTGAAAAAAAGTTCAACAAATTAACTTACGATACACATGTAAACGGAAAACAGAATAATGTAAGTGCAATAACGCTTTTATCCACCAATCTGTTGAAGCTAGAAATCACTTATGTACAACATACAAAAGCCTGATACTAATCTTGAAGTCTTTTGTATTAAAGGATTCAAAGTTTTTTTAAAATTAGTGACTACTTTATTCGTAAAATCTATGAAATTAAGTTTGTCTAAGATTCATTCTACTGCACAACAATATCGGAAAATGCATTATTTAAATCAATTATGTACACATACTGCAGTGAATTTTTCGTGGTACTTATTATTTCTGATCGTATGTAATAATGTATGGAAATGGGCATTTGTATAGCAGTCACGATGAAAAGAAAACTTAGAGTAACCAGGCATTTCTTTGTACCTCGTGAGCTTACGGAGAAAAGATTAAAGGTAACACTAATTAAACAAGACTTTTATTTTTGAGCGAAGATGGATGCTGTTACAGATCGACGTTAACGGATGACATGACAGATACGAACTGGTTTGTGTTTCCCCAACAAACCACCGAAGAGGTGAATTTAACCATATGTGTACCGTAATAGCAAGAATAATAGTGGCATTTATGTTGATACGGTAAGATTAAATATATAGATGGCTTGAAAGGGGAAAATTTGACAGATTAGAATTTCCCAGTAGCATAGTATGAAACCTCAAGATTGGAACCAAATTATGTAATAAATGCAAATACGCCACTGTGATCAAGTTTGAGCCATCTTTCCTACGGTCTTAAATCACTGATAATCACTATCGCATTAGCCCCAAACAGGTAGTCAACACCTCACACAGCTTAATCCAATACTTGATGACTATAGAAAAACGCACTTTTTTGACTGCAATTACATTTGCTTTAACCTACTTGTACCCCAGCTATCATGTCTTACGGTAGGTGGTTAAAATCCTTACATATATAGTCTAGGTCACAGGTGAGTATATAAACATGTACTTGACATACAAGTTACCCAGATTCGGCTATGGTCCAAACAATAAAAGATGCTGATCTTTAACAGCTTACATGAACAAATGTAATTGTGGTAGATGATTTTAAGTGAAGTGGTCTTAGTTAAGCAGGAAACATTGGGATAAACTCTGAGTATTTTCAGCACAGCAAAAGTCGTTCAAATCGCTAGTCGTGATTAGAATCACTATTTATTTATTTGAACACATAAATATTGGTACAAAGGGATACCAAATTTATATGCGCCACACAAATCTCATTTCATTTGTGTGAGGGCTGTGATACTGCCCAGGTGCCCAAACTGAAGCAGGTGGTTTTCTTAGTGGCCGATTGTGAACGCTATATTCGCTTCCCTAAGCTAGTTCCGCACCTCCGAGCTAGAACTATACACCGACTTGAAGACCAGAGAAAAGGCACAAAGTGTGTGGGAAGCAATTTACTACAGAGTTCCTTTATGTACAGAAAATATGGGGATTTTATAGTAACTTAAGAGTCCTTGAGTTTTACTGAAAGTTATAGAATACTGCTAAACATAGTAGCAGTGTATAAATCAGCCAATCAGGATCTCCAAATGTGACTTTTCTATTTTCGTTATTTTAGTAACATAACTTCACATAACTTCTAATTAATCGCTGATTGGTTGAAATGCTCCTTGATGACCCCTGAGCTTGTTATGTCGCTTGCGAGAAAAATGCAGGGTCATCTCAACACCTCCCTTTTTTGAAGATTCGGGGTAGGTATCCAGACTGCATTTTCCGACTTTATCCTCCCCCACGAAACAATGTTGGATCCTCATATCTCCAAATTACAATTATTATGACATTATTTAGAACATATTTCTCGCATTGAATAGAGAATCCACTGGGGATGACTAAATGATAATGAACGACTCTTGGCTTTAGGTGATCAGAACTTGGCTCTTCTGAAACATTCCCATCAAATTCATTAAGATTTTCACTAGAGGTTATTAGATAACTAGGGGAATCATCATTTAATAAAATTGCATTAGGTTTTTGATCACCATTTGATTAGACCGACTTATTTTTCTCATCTTCATAAGAATTTTCATCAAAATTATGTGCACCATTACGCGAACCCATATCTGGTAAACTGACATGAGAAATTGGATATGAAGCTGATTCATTATAAGCTTTCATCTCCCGATGATTTTGAATTTCACTTGGCACAATTTGGCTTACTGTACTGTTCCAGTCTTTTTCAGGATGTGCGTTCTCCCAGCTTTTTTGACCGATATCATGTAACACGTAGTTTAGTTCTGACTGAAGTTTGTCTTCAGAGATCGGCGGATTCAATGGTGCTTCATTTGACTCTAGACTCAGGGCTTGGTCTACGGAACCTTCTTTTTCTTTGTCATCTGATACCATTTTGCATTTTCCATCACATGTGAAGGGAGTTGAACCCTCAACTGAGCGTTCTTTTAAGACGGCCATTTTAGCACCATTATCTGCATTACAAATAAACCTTTTATTTCCTGAAATATTTTGTTTAGTGAAAAACTTGTCCCAAACTGTTTCAAATAGTTGCTGCTGGAAGGCTAGCATCTGCTGTTGCCGGTGATCTAATATTATCAGCGCCTGTTCTAGAGAAATCGTCATTTTTTTACTGATAATAATAATAACTCCAAAAATTCGCCAGCAATTATTACAGCTTGCTTAATTCCGAAATCAAGTCTCGAGTGCTGTATTTCTTTTTGCCAGAATCCCCGACGACAATTGTTGTATTTTTTTCTTTTGCGTACCAAAATCCCCATCGCCACTGTTATAATTGTATTTTGCTAATAAACGACCCAACTAATTCCTATTGCTTAGCAACCTCGATAGTCCATAGCAAGTACCTTTTGACCCACACTGAACAATCGTTTTTGTGCCCCATGATGACTATTGTACTGTTTCTCCATCATCACGTTTCGTCCGACTCCAGCTCTTAAGCCGCAACGAAACGTGATGATGGAGAAACAGTACAATAGTCATCATGGGGCACAAAAACGATTGTTCAGTGTGGGTCAAAAGGTACTTGCTATGGACTATCGTGGTAAACATCCTACGTGGACAGCTGGTTGGATCGTGAGAAAGAAAAGGAATGTGGTTTATGAGGTGTCCGTTAGTTCAGATATCTGGGTGCGTCATGCTAACCAACTGAAAGCAACTTCGATAGCCATCAGCGAGAATCGACATCGAATACCTCTTGATGTTCTGCTAGACACCTTTGAAATCAAAACGCCCGTAACAGACAAGTTAGTTTCTGTGCAAGCAAACGAAGGATGATGCAACTTCCTTGTTGCCTAGACGATGGACAGATCGAAAGCGCAGGCCAGTCACTCGGTTGCAGTTGGACCCCAGCACCAGATCCTACGAATCTGCTCAAGGGGGAGGTGTTAGTGGGACATAGATTGGATTAAAGCATGTTTTATGCATGATTGTGTTGCTGCGCGCTGATTGGCTAATTCTATACAGATCAGCCCGAGCAAATTATTGGAGAAAATCTAGAAGCTTCTTATGTATATACTATAAATATATGAACGTTATTCAAACTAGTGATTGCTGTTCACTTACTATTGTTATTTTGAATACAATCTGATTCCTGTTCAACGTGTTCTGATTTTGGGGTCTTGTTGAGTGTCATCATATAAGAATACTAAGCAATAGGAATAGCTGGGTCGTTTATTAGCATAATACAATTATAACAGGGGGCCACACCCGGAGCCTTTGACCTAAAGGTCTGACCCACAAGGCAGTGGGGCATCGTGAGGAGATGCAGTCCTATGGTAGCCGGTGACTAACGATTAATTCATACGCCATTTGTCCCCTCAGCATGATATTGGAGCCCATGTGCACCATTGATTGGGAATCAGGATTTTCCAACTCTCCTAGGTGAACATTCCGTGTCCAACAACCCGTTTAAAGCGCCGGACGTTCGCTTTTCGTCCTCTCAATTTCGTAAACAACAGTAATGCCACTAGGAGGCAGTGAGTGGGATTTACCTGGCGGAGGCTGCATGCGCGTGACCATGTGAGAACATTTCGAGGGATGAAGGGCCCTATCCACTCTCGGCCGTATCAGGGCATTCATACAAAGCTATCCAAAAGTGATTAACCTCGGACTACTTATGACTCAGACATCAAAGAATTTAGAACCAATAGAACTGGTTAAAAAATATGAATAGCCACATCATAGTGTTGGACTAGGGATAGAAGATTGATAGTGACATCAAGGGGGCGTCAGTCTGTGACGTTATTATGTGTTATCATGCATAGTGGTATTGAACTTTTGACTATCTCCAGGTAACCACCATCACCCGTTACAAACTGGGTATCGTCTCGAGAGCTCTCATAGAAATTGTATTTTCACTAACCTTGCACATCACATTACATTATGTTATTTGATATTTCACTATTAAGTTCTTTACAACTACGAAGTCATTCTTATCATTTTATGAGGGGAGAATGGGTATTTGAAGTCACCACATAACTTGCAGCAGATAGTTAGAACTTGACTCCTTTGGGCACTAAGTTTTAAGTCTCTTAACCAAAATGACAAATAACCTTCGCAGAAATTTTTGAGGACATAACTAATCAATTATAACGTAGAGTAAAGATGTGTATTCCAATTCTATCGAACACCGTGTCTTGATTGTTTCTTTCATGAGATACTAGTTGTTCACTAGAGTTTGTAGTACGTAAAGCTAAAACAAAACCAAGGAAGTCCTACTACGGTTATCAAGACATTCAAAAAATCCGAACACTCGTCAACACTTTCCCTCGAAGTTTGCAACTTGTTTGTACACCGAGGACGGCGTTACGAGTGGAATGACAATTAAATGCTCTCAAAAAAAGCTGGTCCTTTAGTAAAGATTGAATAATGCTATCAATTTAAACGTGTCATTATGCTCAGTCAGTCAGTAAGCTACATTATGCTGGTTTCCTAACAAGCAGAATCCGTGATTAGTCACTGTTTTCGTATGCTTCGATATCCCATACGATATAATACGGTTAACGTAACTTTTTAAGCACCAAAAATGTAAATCCCCGGCTTCAACTGGAAATCTAAACTCATAGTTAATCACTCATAGTTAAGTATGACTATTCGTTGATTCCCAGAAATGGTAAAAACTCACTGGGACATGACACATCGAATAATGCAATTTTTGAAAGGACGTTTACGACATACCTCTCGCTTTTGTCAACGCAGTTTCCGGCTTATGATATTGGCTTGGAGGCATTATCACAAGAAGACACGCGAACACACAAGGTTCAAGTAGAGCGGTGCACGCGAATGACTAAAAGTATCTTCAATATTGATTCCTCATCTTACTGTTCTAACCCACTTATTGTTCCCTGAAATTAGTGCTCAGTATTCACTCAACTGAATTTTTTTCGAATAATAAGCACACAGTTTACGATAAGATTCTTCTGCCATGATAAATGTTCTTCTGTAAAGATATTTGGAATCCAAGGATTTTCGAAATGAAATATTCAACTGTTAGTGACTCTGGCATACGATTTTGGCTACAGAAGATCTTCATTTAATTTCAAAACATAAACTCTCAGAGAGAATGAATTTCTGGGGATATATCCCTGCTGCGTCACTTATCCCAAAATATACAGTTTCAGTTTACAAAAGACCTTCGGTAGGACGGCCTGTTAATCCTAGTGATGGAGATCTTTCAGCCGGCTCGACTTCCTCTGAAAGCCGTAGGTAATTTTGGCTTCAACCACATACCAAGATTAGGAATTCCACTAGTTGACGGTTCAAAGCACAAAATGATACACAGCTAATGAGTAACTTGTTCTAGGCGTGTGTACGCTTGAGAGTAATTTTGTGAATTTGCTGTTCCAGAGGACAAAAACGAGAGTACGCATAACAGAAGTTTACGACTGAGCGAATCTTAAACAGCGGGAATGTCACCTGGCTAGGTGACCAAGTTTTATGTTTGGTCGAACAACCGCTGCAAACAGAGTGAAAAAGGTCATAACATTTAGGCGAATGAAAGATCTATGCTATGATCAAAGTCTACATGAACATTCAGCAGCTGAAGCATGGTAAGAAATATTAGTTTACACGTCTAATTTGTCGATGGTCCTTAGACTAGTATATTTCCTGACTGCAGGCATATTACGGGCATCAAACGAGTATTTATCCGTCCCTGAGCCACAAGGATGTACTATAATGGATTGGAAAGCAGTAATCAGCAACTACCCACCTATGTCTGTCGAAATAAGTAGCATGTAATAAATCAAAAGTGGAATGCCAGGCAGCAGAAGGCTAAGAAGTTTGGTTCGAAGATAACAATAATATAAACAGAGTAAATGTAAAAGCAATGGAGGAATAATGGAGTTTGAGACGACTGATGGAAGGCCTGCAAGTGAAGCATTTATAGTATGATTATTTAGAATTTAAAAATGAACTCCGTAAAGTTGAAATGAATAGTGGAACTGGTTTTCTCATTCTGAGTTCTCGTTCATTACACATAAATATCTTAAGTATATGATAAGGCTGATGATGGTGGGACTGGAATAGTCATTAGGATATAAGAAGAATAAAAGTGGACACAAAAATATACTTAAAAGCACTCAAAAAGACATGGTTTTTGAGCTAGATGACTTAGAGTTAATCCATAATCTCCGTTGATATGTAACCAAAGATAAATTGTACCTTACTCCAACAGGCCCAATGTAGATAGTTATTAAATAAGATCTTACCAAAAGCCTTGCTGAAGTCAATAAATTTTATATATCTGGGTAACATCTAATGTTTCAGAACAAACTGGTAAGTTAATAAGACACCAGTCACCTATTTTGTAACCATCCTGCTCTTCAGAGATAATCTAACTTTTGAAAGGCACTGAAAAATTTTTTACACAATATTCTTCCTTAAAATCTTGACAGCTTGTGTGATTTCAGTTCTCATGTACACGCGTCTATCTATTTTGAGGAAGGGATTCGCTTTATTAATTGGTTAACAATGAATGATATAGCTTAAGAGCCATTTCATCAAGTCCTAGGAGTTTTACCACATGAAGGATTAAAAATACCAAATTTTTTGACGGTCGTAATATCTAGGGCAGAAGTATGTTGCCAAAGTAGCCTAAAAATACTTGAGCTTTGCTATAATCATCTCCCAGCACCATCTCCACGTATTCCGGAGAAATTTATCTTCTTCTACATCATGAGGTTCGTGTGAAAAAAAGAACTCTCGAGATTCACTATAATTTTAAACAAGCACTGCTTCATACTCCTTTCCGGACATGAGTCAATGTTTAACACAAGTAACTTTGACTTTCCGACATAAAGATTTAGCCTCACCAGTGCTTAGTAACATAAATCCTTCCATCATTCCTTCACTTTTACGGAAAATAGTGTAGATGTTTGCGAGAAATATTGCGGGACTTCTTGGTTTCCAAGGGATCGTCCACGGGTATTTATGGCGAGGTTATAGTTAGTGCAATTGTTTACAATGAAAATTGTGATCTTGAGCCAGGCCTCGACTTCTTTTAACTTATCTTACTGTGGCTGCATTGACAAGTTTCCATCAAAATTATTTATCTAGTAACTTTATTCTTGAATTGTCGCAGTCTTACATGTACGTCATAGTTCCCTAATATCGGTCACTTTGCAATAATGGATGAAATGTTGAAATTGACCAAAGAAACGTCATTCAACTGACAAGAGGTATTATGAACTTAACTAAACAACAGTCCTTGCTCGTTATATTTTAAGCATGAGCCGCGTTTTATACTCCACTTTCACGGGTAATGTTCCAGTGAGCATTGTTTCTTGGTTACTCATCTGGGTTCTGTCACTTCTTGAAATTTTGACGCTTGCGAGATAGAGTTCGACACTGTATAAGGACAGAGATTGTTACATTATTGTTAGATCAGCCATATCCGGTCTCTAAATGTTTACCTTTGCACTCAATCTCAATATTTTGTTGACTGAACGTAGGTCATTTGTGTGATTGATTCAAAAACCATTTAGATAGCTTCGTGTTGCGCTTGACTCATAATAAGTCTGTATGAAATTTTCAAAACTTCGTCACCATGAAACTTACTACCCTTTGGCTTATGGCTCTAGTTTCAGTTAATTTTTGAAGTCTTTTGGAATAAAATACACGAGCCTCTCAGCGTGTTTCCACGTCACATCATCAACTTTCGCATTTTCTGGAGTTCAGTTTCAGAGCAATATAAAGCTAAAAAGTCTCCACATAATCCTGGACTGATATGTGACTCTGTACTGCCAATGTAAACAGTAAAATCATGGAATGAACCAAATGAGGTGTATAATTGCTTCTGACTATGGTTATTACCTTCCGAAATCGTGGATTGAAATAAATGATCATTAGATTCATCCAGCTTAGTAGAATCCGAACTACAGTGTTTTTTATCATTAGTGGTAGGACGAAAAGTAGCTCTATAAGCCCTTTAGATGTCACATTTTACCACACTAAGGGCATTTTCCATATTGAAATACATATAAATTACGTGATTGGGATGTGTCATGTGATAAGCATTTACCGAACATGTGATCACCACAGTAATCTACTATGCAACACGTCAATGGACTGTAATCTGCATGACCTTGAGTACGCATTAGATTATGATGAGTATGTGATGTAGCAAAATTCATGATATAATAATAATAATAATAATATATTCTGAAAATAATATTTACAGAATTCACACCAGTTTACAGGCATGATCAGATTGTTATGAAAATCAACATTTAATGTAGAGAACAAACATGAAATATAAGAAAGTTTTATGTTTGCTGGTTTAGTAATTGATAAATAGTTCAAATATGGCATATGTCACGGCAAGCCAATACAACACCAGGGAACTTGTCATTTTTTTATTAAGTGGATAGCCTGATGATTGATCAACATTGTTCTGTAAGGTTATTACCAGTGCCAGAGCGAGTTATTATTAATTATCTACAACTAGAGAAAGTAAGATTAAAGCAAAGAGCACGGAACAACGAAACAATGATAGCAAGTAAGAGGTTAAACATTTAAAGTTCCTATAATCTCACTTGTGGAGTAAGATACACTTGCAGGCGCTAGAGCATTTAATGCATTTTCAGAGGAGCAAAAAGCATTAATTGAGCGAACAAACAATGGGAGAGAGTCTAACATACGGATAGTTTGGGGTAAATTATTCCAGAGTCTAGAAAACTTACAGGTAAAGTAATTCATATAGAGAGAAGATCTAGAATATGTTTGTTTCGCTAAAGACAAGGAGTTACGAATGTCGTAATGTGAGGCCTTAGCATATTGAATCGCCTGGCTGGATGTGAAGGAGAGTTTGTTAAGTATTTTGAAAAAGAAGATAAGGTTAAGTTTGAGTCTCCTCTTCCATAAAGGGTCAAGCCCTAGTTTAATACACCTCGAATTATATGTCAAGACACTATCAGGTCCAAGAGTACGAAATGTAAATCGTCTCTGTACTGATTCCAGTCTTAATTTATCCCTTATGCGCGTGCTACTAAGGAGAAACGCGCAGTATTCGAGGAGGGGTCGAACACAGACTTTGTACATTAGAATACGAGATTCGCTGTTATGAAAGTTTCGAGTTATGAGACCTATAAGGTGTTGAGACTTGGACGTTTGTTTCATTATGTGTTCAGTAAACGACAAGTCGTAGGAGTACCTAAGTCCTAGATCTACTACTGTGTGTAACCTAGATAACATTTCCCCATTTATGGTAAGATTAAGGTTGAGTGATGTATCACCGAAGCATAGCCATTTCGAGTACCACTGTGCTACCTTGTTAAGCTCCGTGCTGATACAATTTTGAATATTGCTCAGCTCATGTGGGGAAAATGAGTACACCACCTTGAGATCGTCTGCAAACAGAAGGGACTTACCCACACTAAAACACTCACAAATATCATTAATGAAAACTAAAAAGAGCAAAGGACCTAAGACACTACCCTGAATTGCCCCACTTCTAACAGGGACTGCGTTTGACAATGAAGAGTTGATTTTAACTATTTGATGTCGATTGTTGAGGAAGGAATCAAACCAGGCTAGTAACGGGTTTTGGACCCCATAAGATGCGAGTTTACCTATGAGAAGTTTGTGGTTGACCATGTCGAAGGCCTTAGAAATGTCCAGGTATAGCACTAATACTAGATATCCTTGGCTACGAAGCGAATAGACTAAATTAAAGAAGTCAAAATGACATGTCATACAGGATCGATTTTTAAGAAATCCATGTTGCGAATCATCAATAAATTGTTCAGTCAATAAATAGTTGGATAGTTTGTCACTAATAATTTTT